TGTCTGTAGCTGTGATGCCTTCACTGTCCTCTGTCTGTAGCTGTGATGCCTTCACTGTCCTCTGTCTGTAGCTGTGATGCCTTCACTGTCCTCTGTCTGTAGCTGTGATGCCTTCAGTGTCCTCTGTCTGTAGCTGTGATGCCTTCACTGTCCTCTGTCTGTAGTTGTGATGCCTTCACTGTCCTCTGTCTGTAGTTGTGATGCCTTCACTGTCCTTTGTCTGTAGCTGTGATGCCTTCACTGTCCTCTGTCTGTAGTTGTGATGCCTTCACTGTCCTCTGTAGCTGTGATGCCTTCACTGTCCTCTGTCTGTAGCTGTGATGCCTTCACTGTCCTCTGTAGCCTTGATGCTTTCACTGTCCTCTTTTTGTTGCTGTGATACCTTCACTGTCCTCTTTTTGTAGCTGTGATGCTTTCACTGTCCTCTTTTTGTAGCTGTGATACCTTCACTGTCCTCTTTTTGTAGCTGTGATGCTTTCACTGTCCTCTTTTTGTAGCTGTGATGCTTTCACTGTCCTCTGTCTGTAGCTGTGATGCCTTCACTGTCCTCTGTAGCTGTGATGCCTTCACTGTCCTCTGTCTGTAGCTGTGATGCCTTCACTGTCCTCTGTCTGTAGCTGTGATGCCTTCATTGTCCTCCTGACTGGACCAAATGACTCAGAATCATCACCTGACTTTTAGCTCACCTGTAAACCAGCTGACATGAATAAACAACAAGAAGCTTGCGGGGGGAGGGGTCTTAAATGAACAGGTGAAGGATCAAGGACCAGGTCTTCAGATCTGGACTGGCCCAGTTGGAGGACTCAGAAACATGTAAACACAAACAAAAGATCAGTCTCTTGCTGGGTTCCACCAGGTGTTCTGTGGCACCGCCTCCCTGCCTCCTGATTGGTCCAGCTGTAATTAATAATCTGGTGTTAGGKGTCAGAGGTCATCACGGTGAACAGAACCGGTTCTGACTGTTGGTTTGTCTATCTTTATGAGTATATAAGTTGATTTAACTTTACAGATATAAAACTTTATGGAGGTTTTTAAATGATTATTATTTGTAACAGTTCGTCTGCATTCAGTTCCTGACCCGACTTCAGGAACCACTGACCTGATCCAGATGGTCCACCCAATGAAAACTACTGGTCCTCACAAGGTAGGTGATTGTACCAGAAAAGACCAGAAAAACGAAATGTAAAACATGATGAAGTWCAGTTTCTGACCAGCAGAGGGCGCAGTTTCCTCACAGTTCACGTCTCAGTGGTTTTACAGGTGAACTGGTTGCTCTGTGATTGACAGCTGCAGCACAGGTTGGATTAAACAGAACCTTTCCAACATGTCTGTGAGGTTCTGTCAAACTGTTGGAGAAAATAAGTAAAGATTCTTTAAAAAATGTTAAAATTTCTCTTCTTTTCTTTCTGTTTCCATCATTTTTTAACAAACCTCATGGCCTCAAATTAGATCTCTTCAGATCAGCTTTAACAGCACTGGTTTTATATCTTATTTTGACGTTGTCTGTTTTCTGTTGTTCAGATTTCGTTGCATTTGTGAGAAAAGTCTGATCTGTGATGTTAATTATCTGATTTAATTTGTTGGAAACTAA